AACTGCAAGTGTTGTAAGATTTTAGTCATTCTATTGACTAGCTTCCATGAAAGTCGACTGCATTTTGTAGCGATGCAAGATTGTTTTTCCTAGCTTTACATAAGCATTTAAATTTGTAGTTGCAATGTTTGTGATTTTATTTACTATCCAATTGCCACTCATATGTATTTTCCGGGTGGAAAGACACTGTCTGTCAAATGTCTTTTTCTTTAATGTTATTCTGAATGATATGAAGTACATTGTTGTGCAAGTTGGGATTAACAGAACTGTAGTTGACAAAGTAAACTTTAGATATCTGATATAAGGTAATTGCTTCTTATTTTGCAGATCAGAATCTTAGACGCCATGTACATGAAATTGTTGGGCGCGTCAATGGCAGATTCGGAACACTTTCCTCTGTCCCTATAATTTATTTGGTTTGTTCTTTCTAAAAGCTTCCAAGTTGTTTATTATGCATGCATGATAATTGAGTCCAATGAATTCTAAATTCCAATCCCGTTCCATCTTAAAATTATCAGACTTTACATAGCAAACAACATATAAATTATAATTGGACTTTGAAGTAGCATGTTCATCAAGAATATGAACTACTGAGTATTAAGCATCGAGGAATGGACTGTAATAACATGATAGTAACTTTGAAGTAGCTTGTATGCCCTTTTGTAATAATTAAACTTATCCCCTAGTTACTATTGTTACACGTTGATCACCTAGTAACTGTACTCTGTAGTTTTATATTTTCTGTGTTCTCTAAAGTTGGTTTTTACCAGTTTAACCTGAACCTGATTCCTGACATATGATGAAGCTAGCTTAATTTTTATTAACAAGTGGAACTTTTCAAGAGCAATAAGTTCAATCATGCATAATTAGTATTTGAATTAGGACAGGAGTTTGTAAATATGGGATAATGGCCAAGTATCCCTGTTTTTAAAAAAAACATTTTTGTACATTATTTACATTATTGTATGTCTGCACACATTTGAGTATTTTATTGTCTACTTTCTGCAGGATCGTTCTCTCGACTTCCAAGCATTATGTGCTCTATATTCTATTACAGGTACCTATTCTTATCTTTGATTATTAATTTCTATAACTTTTTTTTTTCTATTTGCAACATGTTTTCTTGGTTTTTAAACGTGTAATTTAGTAACCTATCATAGAATTATTACATCTGATTTCTCCAAATGTTAATATGGTATATTTCTCAACCAGCTTATAATTAATGTTGTTGTGCAATGATTTATCATTGACCTAGTTGTTTTTAGCTGATGTGTATTTACTTATTTTGTTTACTTTTGTTTTAGACATTGCACTTGTCACATCTTTGAGGGATGGGATGAATTTAGTGAGTTACGAGTTTGTGGCTTGCCAAGCTTCAAAACAAGGTGTTCTCATACTTAGTGAGGTAAAGTAAGATCAACATTTTCAATTTTGGTTTAAATGATTTTAGATGGCATAGAAATATAAAAATCCATTATTTTTTGAAATGAAAAAGTGTGTTACTAATCTTTCAAGCCACTCAGTTTGCAGGTGCAGCACAGTCTCTGGGGGCGGGAGCCATCTTAGTAAACCCCTGGAATATTACAGACGTTTCTTCTGCAATTGCTTATACATTGAATATGCCGAGTGAAGAAAGAAAAATGAGGCACAAACTTAACTTTGAGCATGTAACAATTCATACTGCCCAAGAGTGGGCCACGATGTTTGTAAGGTATGTGATGGATTGCATCACATGAAATCGTATGCTGCTTCTATATTGATGTTATTGATCAAATAAACTGTTTTTTGAAACATGTTTTGGTTACCATGGTTTATGATTAGGGAGCTCAATGAAACTGTTGTTGAAGCTCAATTACGTACAACACAAGCATGGACACAGCCATTACTTCCAGTTAATGAGGCAATCGAGCAGTTTTTGCAATCTGATAACCGACTGCTGGTTCTGGTATGTCACTCTTCACCCAGGTCATCCACCAATTTTCTTGATCCTGAGAAATTTCCCTGCGCACTTTAGATGGTTCCTACATAGGTGGGCCAGAACATTATAAATGGAAAATGTAACTAGACACATGAACACAAACACCTAAGGCTTGATAACTCCTAACATTCTTTATAAAGAATTAGCACTGTTTGTTCAATTACCTTTTTGTACTTGCACTACTCACAAATAGGGCAAATTTCAATTTAAGTATATCAACAAATCGAGCAGCAAAAGGAGTCCTGTGAAGATAATATGAAATATAACGGAATTTTTTCTAGTTACCTTTGTCTGACATTGCCTTTGATAACTATGTTATCTTTTGCATCCCATTCAATTCTTGCATAAATGTCAACATTTAAATAGCTTCTTTATGACCCTTTACCCTTGTTTAATTATAGGGATTCAATGCAACTTTGTCATCAGTCGAAAGTCCAATAGAAAGTGGTAAGATTATAGACTTGGGTTCTACCTTGAATCCGAACCTGCAAGAGCCACTGAGAAGGATATGCAGTGACCGTCAGACAACTATTATCGTGCTCAGTGGAAGCAAGAGAGATGTCCTAGACAAAGTATGTATTCTCCTCTCTGATCTGTGATAGCTGTATCCTAATATCCTGCCAAAGTGTCAAGCACAAGTTAATTCTGTTTTAGGTATTTGATGGCTACAGCATGTGGCTAGCTGCTGAAAATGGTATATATTTGCGACATACATCAGGTAGTTGGAGAACAACGATGCCAGAATTCTCGGGTATGGAATGGGTTGACAGCATTAAGGTATTACTGAAAAATCGTATGTATTACAAAGTACAAATATTGTATCTTGTATCTCTGGCTGTGGAGTAACTTTGGGTCATCTGTCCCTTTTCAGCATGTTTTTGATTATTTTACAAAGAGGACTCCTCATTCATTTATTGAGGAACGTGAAACCTCACTTCTATGGAATTACAAATATGCAGGTATGGAGTAACTTGTTAAGGATTATGACATATTAGTGATTCGAAGTGTTACTAATTTGTCTATTTCTTCTCTGTAATAGATTCTAAATTTGCAAGGCTCCAAGCAAAGGACTTGTTGTTGCATCTTTGGACGGGTCCAGTTTGCAGTTCTTCTGTTGATGTTTATCAGGGCGCACAGTCTGTAGAGGTCCGAGCAGTTGGATTAACAAAGGTTACATTTTATTTTGGCTAATATGGATTGCTCTCGAGTTTTGAATGTTGTTTATCTGAGTGTGCTTCATTTAACTTCTGTGTGTTGTACTTAAAACTCTTGTTGAATACAGGGTACAGCAATAGATCGTATACTAACGGAAATAGCTTACAGTACAGTCATGGATAAACCAATAAATTATGTCCTTTGCATAGGGCATTTTCTTGGGAAGGTATGTTCTTTGGACAGGACCTTATACATTCTTCTTCACACATAGGTTACGTAAGATATTAAGAGTAAAATCATCTTAATTGTTGTCATTTTCTACTAGGTTACTGTAATTTTTAACACTACTGACAGTTCTGAATGTGTGTTTTATGTACTTCATAGCTAATATCATTGATTGTCTTGTTTAAATCAATCATTGAGTTTAGAGGGTCATAAGGAAGATTGCGAGAAACTAGAATGTATTTCATATAGATCATGATATCTCTGTATGGCATGAATGTAGGTCCAAGCATGTCATTCTGTTAAAATCTGTTAACCAATAAAAATGAATGTAAATCAGTGGAAATTCTTCTGACAAACTTTTTTTTCTGACAAAATGGCTTAAGAAATAAGAGTAAAAATAGTGACAGAGCACTTCTTTCTACCTATGATGGGAAAATTTCCAAGTTACTAACTATTGTCATCAATTGTCTATCAGGACGAAGACCTCTATTCATTTTTCGAGCCAGAACCTCCAGTTCAGCCTTTAGAATTATCAAAATCTAAGGCAGCAGTTGCAGGAAATGGATTAAAATCATCAGTTAAATCAGATAGTGCTGGTGCTCATTGCCGAATTGCAACGTGCTCAACCGTGGAGAGTGTGGTGACATATGAGAGCACAACTGTACTAGATATCAAAAGAGAGAACTACTTTCCTTGTACTGTCGGGAGAAAGCACTCAAGAGCCCGGTATGTTCTGGAGTCGTCTAAAGATGTTGTTTCGCTGCTAGAGGGGCTCGCTGAGGTCTTACCACCATTATGTGAATGACTGCATAACTTAGGAGTCTTAGGACCAGAGAAGTGAGAATTAGATAAATAAAGAATAATAACTTAGGGAATGGTTGCATTCTTATGCGATTTCATAATTGATAGTTAGAACAATAATGGGTTCAGTGCAGCATTTCATAATCATCTCAAGCAATAAAGTTCATTTGCTAATTTTGGTTGTCATTTCTTTAGGTCCTTCATTTTCTGGTCAATGTTACAAATTGACACCATAATTTTAATTAGTGTAGCATGTCCAACGATATGATTTTCTTGGTGTTGTTCTTTATCTCTGGTTCCAAATCGCGACATTAGTAACATTCTTGATAGATTTGGTAGTAAATTAAATATCACGTCTCTGTGACTATTATTAAAGGGCACGGTCAAGGTGCTACAAAGTAGTAAACATGCATTTTTGCCTACGGGTAGGAAAATAAAGGTAATTCGGATCAATAATCAAATTGTGCGAGTTCTTTTTAGGAAATAACACAAAAGATTTGTACCATAATCGAATTAACAATGAAGAGAATGGTTCTCCAAAATCATTTATTTGACATTTCTTATTAACATCCTCCAAATTAATTAAGACCCAATCTTACTCTTCTTTTTGCTTGTACTTGCTCAACTATTTCCAGGAACTATCTTGGAAAAACACTTAGTATAGTCTTGTAGAATTATTCTAATATAAATAAAAATTGGTATTTTCTTCTTTACATATTTTTTTATTATGTGGCTTATACCATCTATACAGACTATTCTTCATATTTAAATTTAACATACGTCTTGACTAGATTCATGTGTCACCCTTCTGGAATCATATACACTCGCTTCTTCTCTTTATCTTAAACAGAAAAAAGACTCAAAATATATATATAAAAAAAAGTTTAAAAAATGGGTTTGAATGATGCAAGTATATGGGTTGTTATAGGATTCCTAGTTATCTTACATAGATGTATCGTTGCTGCTAATGACGGAAACACCTTGATGGTAATGAATATAGGCGTGTTCGTTGATCCGAATGCTCGAACCGGGAAGGAGCAAACGGTTGGAATAGAGATTGCAGCTGAGGATTTCAACAAGTCTCCGAATAACAAGGTGGAGTTGCATTTTCGAAACTCTAGTAGGAGCAATCCTCTTCAAACAGCCTATTCTGGTAAATTTTTTTTCCAATCCAAAATTAAGGGGAATGTCTAAAACTTGACTTTTCTTCTTTTAGCTAGATATATGTATTTGTTAGGAAAGATTAGGTGACTATTATTCCTTATTATCATATATATTAGTTTCCTTAATTATAGGCTTAATTGACTCAAGATAATATTTAGAATATATTGTGATATTAGGAAGCTATGTACTTTATTTATTACCTCCTTTCTTATTATGTGCAACAAAGGGGTACTATTTGTGAGATATAAAATATTCTTTTGTTGCACATAATAAGAAATGGAGGTAGTATATGATTTGAGATCAATGAGAACAATTCAAGTTTTGAGCCCTAAACAATTTATCAGTATTGATTGGTTTCTATGAGGCTCACTACAATCCGAAGGAAAAAAAAACCAAATAATGTTTATGTGGAATTTACATTTTTTGGCTGTTGAAAGTTTTCTTACTATGATGACCTGAATAAATGTAAGGCCCTGTTCACTTCACCTAACAAAAATAATATGCAGTAAAAATAGTTACAGTTCAGTAAAATTAATTTAAGTTCAATTCAGCAAATATATAAGTTCAGTTCAGTAAAAATAATTCCAGTTCAATAAAAATCAGTAAACTTAAAGAAGAAATATAATAGAAATTCAGTAAAAATACTTTCAGTTTAGCATATATGATTTCAATTCAGTAAAAATAATTTAAGTTCAACAACATTAATTTAAGTTCCAGTAAAAATAATTTCATTTAAGTTAAGTAAAAATAATTTCATTTCAACAAAAATAAGGTGAAGTGAACGGGGCCTAAGGGCCTGTTCACATTTACTAAACTGAACCGATTGGAGTTGAACTGAATTGAATTGAACTAAAATGATTGGAGTTGAACTGCACTGATATGAGCTTAACTGAGCTAAAATGAATATTTTATGAGAGAGGGAAATTAAGAACTGAACTGAACTGATTGGAACTGAACTAAACTGAACTAAACTAAATTGAAATTAAGTAAATGTGAAGAAGCCCTAACTCTTTATATTGTTCTTATGGTACTTTGTTAGAAACAATTATCATAATTGCACAATATATTTTATCTTAATACTATGTTTTAAATCGGTTATTATCTAATTAACAAAACTGGTGTCTATAAGTCATTTTTAACCGATGCCTTTTTTTTTTTCTTCTAACAACTAGTGAGTTGACTTCAAATCAAATGGGGCCAAAAAACAGGAATAGAGGGAGTACATTGTATTTAAAAATATAGATGTGATAGATATAAACTAATAACCTTATAACCCTATCATATTAACTCTAGTGCTATGTCCAAGGAGCAAATTAATCAAATTACTCTTTATTGTTAGGTTATAATTTTTTGGAAAATTTGTCTTGAAGGGACTTATATGTTCACTATTTTGTTTAGAAGGACCTTATATGCTGAAAGTTTCCTAAAAGGACCTTATAAGAATGTTTTGTTGTTTGGAAGGACCTTAACATCAGAATTCGGCATTTGACTTTGATTCTCGGTCATTGACTCCCCACGTGCATGTCACATGAAATTAAAAAAAAATACCATCTCCCTTTTTTTCCCCTTAACATTGGAATCTGGCGTTTGACTTTGCTAGTCTTTTGAAGGCTAGGGTTGGAGGGAAAAGGGGAAAAAAAGGGAGAGGGTAATTTTTTTAATGTCACGTGAGATGCCCGTGGGGGTTCAATACCGGAGAATCAAAGTTAAACGTCGGATTCTGATGTCAAGGTCCTTATAAACAACAAAACATACTTATAAGATCCTTTTAGACAACTTTCAACATAAAAGGTCCTTCCAGACAAAATAGTGAATATATTAGTCCTTTTCAGACAAATTTTCCTAATTTTTAAATACTTCAAGTGTCCATGTTAATTTTTACATTTTTTAAAACATAACAAACTACTCCTTATTAAACTTTCAAGGGTTTTATTATTATTATTATTATTTTTTTTTTTTTTTTTTTTTTTTTTTTTTTTGAAGGGACATTAAACTTTCAAGTTGATTATAAAAGAGTTGTCTTGCTAAAGGCCGTAAAACCACAATTGAATATGGATGAAGATTGATTCTATAATTGACTAGTCCTAGCGCACAACAATCAAAGATCCTAAATTACATAATTTAAAAAAACAAGAAAAACTTATCATACGAAGGACCACGAGAATAACATCGATAACTTTCTGGCTTTGGTGTTTTTATTCTTGGTCTTTCCAATTTTGTCGCTTATACTTGCGGGGGTCAAGTGACTTCGCATTGTATCCACTAGAATGATGAATCCACAACACGAAAAAAAAAAAGTTCATTTTCTAAGGGTTAGGCCAATCTATAATTAAAACTTATAAGATGTTTCTAAGAAATTATATATGCTACTGGCACCTTTCTCAAACATTAGAAATATGTCGTATTATATTGTTTGAACTCATGATCAACAATAATTAAGTTGAAAGTCTAACCATCATGCATTGATCGGGCAATAATACACTAATTTGCTTATAATACCCCCAAGTGTAAAAGAGTGTTAGAGCTTTTGACTTGATTCCAATAGATATTGGGATCGATTATCATCACTCACTCTTTGTGGCAAACTTAAAAAATCTCTTGTAGCTTAGTTTGTAATATATACAACTTAATTAAATTAGTATTCATGATCGAACCCACCTTATTAAACATAGCCCACATGTAGTAACACATCAATGACCATTAGAACGACTGCATTCTTATCTACTATGGAATTGGATACTTACATCTAAATTTAACCTAAATGTATATATGTTTATGCATATTATGATGAAAATGTTCTTACAAAACTTGGTGCTTTTATTTGTTTTGACATGTTATTGAAAAACAGCAATTGAGTTAATCAAAGAAAAGAAAATTGAGGCAATAATCACCGGGACAGAAAACTCCGAGGAAGTGGCATTGATGGAAGAAATCGCGAATCAATATCAAGTGCCAGTTCTTTCTCTCGCAGCAGCTTCTTTAAGATCGTCGTCACAAGTGGAAAAACACTCTTTCTTGGTGCAACTAACCAACGATTATTCACTGCAAATTAATTGTACTGCGATGTTGGTTCAAAATTTTGGATGGAAGAAGGTAATCGCGGTATATGAAGATGGTGAAGATCTTAGTACAATATCTTCAATGTTGGATCTCTTCTCTAAAGAGCTTCAAGGAGTTGGATCAGAGATTGAACATCTTTTAGCCTTGCCTCCTGTTGGTTCTGTGCCCTATTCAAAGGAACTGATCGAGGAGCTAGCTAAGGTACGTAATTAATGTAACCTTCAACGTAACAAAATTAAAATTGTCACATTTAAGAATTCGTTTGGTACAACTCATTTTGTGTATGTTAGGTCAGACCATGTGGTTGCTCATAAAATAAACGAAACAACCTCTATAACACTGACCAAGTAACCCTTATAATACTGATCGGATAACCTGCTCAATATAAGTAACCCCTATTACATTAATGTAGTAACCGTTATTTATTAGTAACACTTTCTATATTGATTTTCTTGTGTAGGTATTTAGCATGCAATCGCGTGTGTTTGTAGTCCTTGACTCTTCCTTGCCAATGGCGATTCAGCTGTTTAAAGAAGCCAATAATATGGGGCTAATGGGAAGAGAGACGGCGTGGATTGTTACAGATAGAATTGCAAGCCTACTCGACGCTCTTAATTCTTCTACAAGATCTTACATGGAAGGCACACTTGGGATCAAGACTTATTATGATGACAATAGTCAAGATTTCATGGATTTTAGTCGTGCATTTTTATTGAAAATGATAGCAAAATATCCAAATGAACAAAACTTTCATCCTGGAATTCATGCTTTACGAGCATATGATGCCATCACAACCATTGGATATGCATTTGAGAGGTACGTAAATATCTCTCTCTTTTTTTGTTAAAATTTCAATATATTTGTCCAATATTTATAGGTGTAGTAAGGGTGCAACATTACCATGACATGTTTGTGTGAATATAACAGGAAAAAACGTCAGGACTACAATATATCACACGCGTTAATGCATGAAATTTTGTCTAGTAAATTCACCGGATCAAGTGGCAAAATTTCGATAAAAAATGGAGCATTGGATGAAGATGTTATTCTGTATAGGATAGTAAATGTTGTTGGAAAGAGCTACAAAGAACTCGATTTTTGGTCCCCGAAAATTGGTTTTGTTGAGAAATTAAGAGAGGAAGATCACAAAGAAAATAGTAGTGAGATTTTAAATAAAATGCTAAACGGAATAGTAAATTGGCCAGGAGATATTAAACATAATGTTCCAATAGGTTACACGATGCCAAGTACAATGAAGCCCTTAAAGATTGGAATTCCTGGTAATCCACCTTTTGACAAATTCGTCATGGTGGAAACTTTGAATAAAAACAAGACTACTTACACAGGCTTTTGCATTGACGTGTTTCTTGAAGTAGTCAAGATTGTGGAAGAAAGTTATGGTCTTCCTTATGAGTTTGAAGTTTTTAATGGCACCTACGACGAATTAATTTACCGCGTCCATGACAAGGTAGGTATACTTCGAACTTGTTTTCTTCAACTAAAATAAAGCAATTTGATGTGATTTTAATAAGTTTTGATCTGGTCTGATTTGATCTTATTTGAATTTTGATTATCTGGTCCGGTTTGCTATGACATGATTTATTAATTAGATTAAACTTTGACTGCATTTTACTACTAATTTATAAAGAGAAACATTATCAAATTGGATCTTGTTACATTCGCCTCATCATGTACTTTTCAAATATGTAACTTACATAATTTTATTTAATATACAATTAACGATACTTAGCAATAAGTAAATGATAATTAAAAGTTCTGATCTAATCCGATCCGAATGTTTCTGATTTGGTCAAATATGATGTGATATTACTATTAAGAATTTGAAACATATTGAACAGAACAAGTCCTTACTCTATTCTTATAGACTTGTTTCATTACACACATTTGTCAATGCTTTTCTGTAACCATTAATATCTTTAATCACACATTTGTAAAATAAGTACATGTTAAGACGTGCACATTAATATGATTTTATGTCTCATGGCGTCAATATCCTTCAATTCGATATTAATTGGTTATAATTTATCATGATGGCAGACATATGATGCAGCAGTTGGTGACATAACAATATTGGCAAATAGGTCAAATTTTGTGGAGTTTACTCAACCTTACACCAAATCTGGGTTGTCAATGATAGTGCCTTTGAAATCCAAGGACTCTCATAAGGCAAAAATGTTGATAAAGCCTTTCAGTTGGAAGTTGTGGTTAGTTACTCTTTGCACCTTGTTGTATACCATGTTTGGTGTGTGGTTGATCGAGAGTCAAATTGCCAAAAATTCAGACTTTGAAGGGAGCTTGACTAACCAACTAAATACTGCACTTTGGTACACTTCCAGCTCCATTTTCTTTGCCCAAAGTAAGTGTTTATATAAGGCTATACTAGTAGCTGTTCTCAAAATATTTATTTTCATTTATCATCATAAATATGGAGTATTGTTTAGAATAGGGGTATCCAGATTAAAACAAATGGAAGCTGTGAAGATTTGTTTGTAAGGAAACTAATCCAAGAATTGAAGTATATATTACTACTATGATATGTTAATTCCAACTGACCTGAGAGTGAAGGATAGCTCAAGTGGTTAGAGATTCCTTCCTGGTTCCATGCGATATTGGGATCGATTCTCACCCCGGTATCCTGGCTATTTGTTAGGGACTGTATGCAGTTAATCATCCTGGTTATTCTCAATTCAATTTAGATATGCGTACTAGTTAAGTGGGACATAATTATCGAGAGTAATAATAATTTTCCTTTTGTAGGGGAGAACATACAGAGCAATTTAACACGCCCACTGGTGGCAGTATGGATGTGTGTGGTGTTTGTAATGACATCAAGCTATACGGCAAGCCTAACAGCAATGCTCACGGTTCCATTGTTAGAGCCAATTAAGGTGAGAAATGTTGAATGGCTGAAAAAAACAAACTCCAAAGTAGGTTGTGATGGGGGCTCAGTGTGGGATTACTTAGTAAATGTGCAGAAATTCAACCCACAAAATATAAAGAATGTTAGCAGCCAATATGACTATCAAGAGTTATTCGACAATAATACAATTGTTGCTGCCTTTCTCGAGCTTCCATACAAGAAACTCCTCGTCAACCAATATTGCAAAAGCTTCACTAGCACCGAACACACCTTTGGATTTGGTGCACAAGGCTTTGTAAGTTTCTACGAAAACTTATTGCTAATACTCTTTATGTTCTTCGAGTCATTTTTTATAGCTGGTTGTCATATATTATAGGAAAATTTGTCTGGAAGGAACAAATATGTTCACTATTTTGCTATTTGGAGGGATCTTGAGGCTGGAATCCGGCAATAATTAACTTTTTTCTCCGACGTTGACCTCTCACGTGACCTTAAAAAATGACCCCCTTTTTTTTTCCACGATTTCCCTCCAATTCCTCCTCTCTCTTCTAATCTCCAAGTGGCATGACACAAATCAAAATAAGGGAATTTGAGGGAAATCATGGAAAATAAAGAAAAAAGGGTCATTTTTTAAGGTCACATAAGGTGAACACGGAGAAAAAAGTCAATTATTACCGGATTCTGATGTCAAAGTCCCCCTAAATAACAAAATTAACTTATAATGTCCTTTTAAACCACTTTAAATATATAAGGTACTTCTCGATAAAATAGTGAACATATGTCCCTTGCAGACAAATTTTCATACATTATAAGTCATGGTACTGCCCCTAAATAACAAAATTAACTTATAATGTCCTTTAGACCATTTTAAACATATAAGGTACTTCTCGATAAAATAGTAAACATATATGTCCCTTGCAGACAAATTTTCATACATTATAAGTCATGGTACATTATGACTATAGAAATGTATAAGAAGAGAGAAAATAGAAATCAGAGAGATTCTATTATCAGAAGAAAAATGAGGAAATGAATCTACAGTAATCATTAGTACAGGCTACATTATATATATACATCAGTTAGTTGGAGCAACTAACTAATAATGATAAAATAATAAATGTAATAATACTAATACACCCCCTTCAAGCTGGACAGTTACCCAACAGTCCAAGCTTGGAACATAACAAACTGTGCTGTGCTGAAGCCAGAGGCTTTGTGAGAACATCTGCAAGCTGTTGATCTGAAGATACATGAACTGTCTGTAAGAAACCAGATTCAACAAGCTCTCTAACATAATGCATATCCCTTTTCAAATGCTTTGTCTTTTCATGAAACATGGGATTTTGAGCAAGATGTTCAGCTGAAGTATTATCACAATAGAGAGTGATAGGTAACTGAATCTTCACTTGTAAATCTTCAAGTAGCCCATAAACCCATTCAAGTTCACTAGAAGTCACAGGCATGCTTCTATACTCTGATTCAGTAGAAGATTTACTGACAGATCTCTGCTTCTTTGTCTTCCAGGATACCAGATTTGATCCTAGAAATATAGCATAAGCACTTAGTGATCTACTGCTAAACTGACAACCTCCCCAATCTGCATCACTGTAACCTTGCAGATCCAAGGTAGAATTTGCAGAATACCATAGACCTGAATCTACAGTTCCTTTCAAATACTTAATCACATGTAATGCAGCTCTAAGATGAGTTATTCTTGGAGCATGCATAAATTGACTTAGATGTTGAACTGCATAGGATAAGTCAGGCCTTGTTATCCCTAAGTACAACAATCTACCAACCAGTCTTTTGTATGTATCAGGTTCTGACAGTAAATCACCATCTTCAAGAAACAACTTTAATCCAGTAGACATAGGAGTAGCAACAGATATACACTCTTCCATGCCTGCATCTGTGAGGATGTCTCTAATATATTTCTTTTGAGAAAGAAATATCCCATTTGAGGTTCTAGAAATTTCTATTCCCAGAAAATACTTAAGATCTCCAAGATCTTTAATTGTAAAAGCAACATCAAGAGCTGTCTTCACTTCATCAATCTGAGCAACTGAAGTACCCGTAAGAAGCATATCATCAACAAACACCAAAATAACCAATAACTCTCCCTCTTTCTGTCTTGTAAACATTGAATAGTCTTGCATAGATTGAACAAAACCCAAGGATTTCAAAAGTTTACTAAGCTCCTTGTTCCATTGTCTTGAAGCTTGCTTAAGACCATATATAGATCTCTTCAGTTTACACACTTCTCCAGGTTTAGGTTTACTATAACCAGCAGGAGGCAACATATACACCTCCTTATCAAGAAAACCATGCAAGAATGCATTATTAACATCTAATTGACATAAAGGCCAATTCTTGATAGCAGCAAGAGCAATCACTATTCTGACAGTAGCTAACTTGGCAACTGGAGAGAAAGTTTGGTTGAAATCATGTCCCTCAATCTGCTGATAACCAATTGCAACTAATCTTGCTTTATATCTTTCAATAGAGCCATTTGGATTCAACTTCAATTTGTACACCCATTTAGAGCCAATTTCTCTTTTACGAGCAGGAAGAACAATTAGATCCCAAGTATCATTATCCTCAAGGGCCTTTAATTCTTTAGTCATAGCAGCTACCCAATTAGGATCATTTTTGGACTGTTTATAACTACCAGGCTCAATGATTTTACAAGAATTTACAGCAAATGACTCTGAATACTCAGAGGTAACATCTCTATGAGGAATGTAAGTAGTCTCAAAATCTTGATACTTGCTTGAGGGTTTTACAGGTCTAGAAGAACGTCTCAAATTATCTTGTTCAATAGGAACAACAGTAGGAATATGAGAGTGAGCAGACACATGTTCAGAATTAGAAAGAGCAGAATTAGCAGAATCTGCTAAAATAGGATTATGATGTTCAAAATGAATATTTTGTGAGGAAGTAGAAGAAGAAGAATTGTGAAAAATAGGAGAAAAAGTATCAGAAATAAGAGAAGAAGATTGATTAGGTACAGAATCCATAAGTTCAAATTCTGAACCAAAATTGACAATTTGAGGTGGAACAGGACAAATAGAAAATTTTTGAGATTTTGAATGAAAAGGAAATGTGTTTTCAAAGAAGATCACATCCCTAGAAACAAAACATGTATGAGATTCAAGGTCATACATTTTGAATGCTTTTTGACCAAAAGGATAGCCAATAAAAACACATTTTCTGGCTCTAGGATCAAATTTGTCTCTGTTTGCACATGAATTATATGCATAACATAAACAACCAACTACTCTCAATTCACTGTAATCAGGAAGCTTATGAAAAAGAATTTCATAAGGAGTTTTCCAATCTAAAACCTTAGATGGAAGTTTATTAATCAAGTGTGTAGCAGACAAAAGACAGTCACCCCAAAACTTCTTGGGAAAATTAGCATGAAACCTTAGAGCCCTAGACACCTCTAACAAATGTCTATGTTTCCTCTCAACCCTCCCATTCTTTTGAGGGACTTTAGGAACACTTTTCTGATGCACAATACCATTTACAACAAACATATCAAGACAAGCTTCTTTTACTACTTCTGTTTTCTGAACTTGCATTTTATTATGAAAAAGAAAAGTCCAAGTGACCCTACTATGATCATCTACCACAGTCAAGAAGTAAGAAGCTCCATTAATAGCCTTTACCCTATAAGGTCCCCACAAGTCAATGTGTATCAAATCAAAAACTGCAGTAGCTCTACTATCACTTGCAGGAAAAGGCAGTTTATGATGCTTTGAATATACACAAACTTCACAATTGTATTCATTGATACCAGAACAATCAATTCCAGAAACATGTTTCATTTTTGATAAAGATACATGCCCTAATCTAGCATGTAACAAATCAATTCCAACTCCATTTCTGCCCTTATTACTCATACTAGTACTAGTTTTATCTAACAAAGAAAATCCATGCCCTGCACTAGTATTATTATCAACATTATTACAACCTAAAATTGCATTATTATCAGCAACATTTATTACCTCATCAGTTGAGAAGTAATACAGACCATTCTGCCTCAATCCATGTCCAATCACTTCTTCACTAGAAAGAACCTGAAAACAGCAACCATTCCTAGTAAAGAAAACCTTAACACCAGTCTGATCTAGCAATTTTCCAATTGATAACAAATTATGCTTAAAACCTTCAACCAGCATAACATCATGCAATATCAGTTTATCACTCAAACAAACTGATCCAACCAAATCAACATACTTAAAAGATCCATCAGGCAAACAAACCCTAACAGGTCTACCAAGTTTCTTCTCATTCACAAACAAGGATCTATCATAGATCATATGATCACAAGCACCAGAATCAATTATCCACAAACAACTACTTCCAGTATTAACAGAACAGTTTAGGGAATAAGTATCAGTACCTGCAAAATTAGCACATGACATTCCAGCTCCCTTACTATTCTGCTTACCCTTCATAGTCTTCATGACTTCTTGACATATTAAACTCAGCATATCAGAATCCACTCCAGAAATTGCAGAAGTACCATTCTCTTCAGACAAAGAAGACAAAGGATCATCCTGTATATGATCTGTATTGACATTAGCAGCTATCTTCTAACCAAGACCAGCAGGTTTAGAAGCCTTGAGAGTGTTATACCACTCAGGATTCCCATGCAACTCGAAACATGAATCAATAGTATGACCCTTGCCTTTACAATGATCACATTTCCTGTCATATTTCTCCTTCCTCCAATCCTTCATGAAATTCTGAGTGTTATTTCCCTTGGAGAAATTTCTCTGATTAGCAAAATTATTAGCAAAATTCCTCTGAAAATATCTGAGCAGCCATAACACTACTCTCAGTAATATGCTCAGTATTACCACTCACTTCCTTTTGTTTCTCAATTTGTTGAGCAATAGAAAATGCTTTATTAATTGTAGGAAGAGGATCCATAGCCAAGATATTAGTAATAGTAGAATCAAATCCACTGTTCAATCTTAGCAAAAACTTCATTAACTTGTCTTCAGCTTCAAGATTCGCAAGTTCTTTAGAAACTGACAAGTACAGGATGCAAGAGCACCACAAGTACATACAGGAAAAGCCTTCAGACATTGCAATTCATCCCATAGTTTCTTAATTTTGCCATAATAAGCAATAATAGTCAGATTTTCTTGTTTTAAAGCGTCAATTGATAGATCAAAGGTCAATTAGATTGACCAAATCGTTCCTGTAATTCATTCCACAACTTAACAGCAAACTCAATATATGCAAAATCATCAGCAATTTCAGCAGTCATAGAACTTAAGATCTAGCTAACCACCATATAATCAGCTCTCTTCCACCGAGAGAAATCCTTATGATTCTCATCAGGTTTCACCAGAACACCAGTAATGAAACCATCCTTATTCTTCGCAATCAAAGCACGCTTAACACTACGACTCCATCTTATGAAATTATGACCAGAAAACAGAACAGAAACTAACGAAGCAGTAGGACTATCAGAATTCGCGATAAAAAGAGGATCAAGATTACCTCCAGAAAGAGCATATGAGTTCACCTTAGATGAAGCACCATTACCATTATCAGTAGCAACCGCCATTAAAACAGCTCAAGATTCTCAAGATTCCGAAGAACAATCGCAATCGAGAAGAAATTAGCTCAAAAATTGATTACAGAATCGCAATCAATAATTGCAAAGAGAAAACATATGTTCAAGATTCGCAAGAAAATTTCGCAATCGCATGCAAATCGCAATCGCAAGAAATCTTCGCAATCGAACAAATCAGCGGAAAAACAGAGATGATTGAGAAATCAATCAAAGAAAAATGAAGAACCCTAATCTCGATTGAGATTCGGCTCTGATACCTATAGAAATGTATAAGAAGAGAGAAAATAGAAATCAGAGAGATTCTATTATCAGAAGAAAAATGAGGAAATGAATCTACATTAATCATTATTACAGGTTACATTATATATATACATCAGTTAGTTGGAGCAACTAACTAATAATGATAAAATAATAAACGTAATAATACTAATAATGACTAATTACAAACCATTAACATGTAAAATTCGGTTTTTATACATTTAAAAATAGTGTATATAATGCCTGTTTAATAATACACGTAGAAAATATAACCACGAATCATCAACGAGTTACGCATTTCTTACCCTATTTTTTTTTCTTAATTAAAGAATCTCTTCAAATAGGTTTCGGTCTTTAGGAGCAAGTCTTGCATGCAATGATCTTATGAAAAGTTTTTGGATAAGTCAATTGGTTGATGATAAATAATATTCTGCAATATATAAGCCCTAACTAAAAATGTTGTTATCTCGAATGTTACAAAGTAACCTTAAGATAGAAGGGAAAAAAAGGAGACTTTAGAGTTGTGGTCAAAATATAAGAGGACAAGATTCTTGGTCCTACAATGTAAACGATTGAGGTACCAAGAACTCCAAATGCCCCCAGACTTACTTAGAAGTCAACAATTGTATGCTTGAATGAACAATGTGTCATTTTAAAAGGATGTACATAGACCTAATCAAGGTTGCATATAAGCTGCCAAATCTAAAATGTAGTATTAATTATTAAGTTATTCATCATGCATTATTAAAATTAAAAATCAACATCAATTTTAACTTGCTAACTACTACTCCGGAGTCTTTATTTACAAATCACTGTCTTTACAACTTTTTTTTTTTTTTTTTTTTTACAGAAAACAAAGTACAATAACAATTAACAATTGATTTTATCTCTAAATTTGTACTCTATCAATCATTATTACTTTATTAAATTCTAAATTAATTATCTCATAATCATGTGATGATAAAATGCGTAAATGTTGAAAAGGATACATAGATAAGGTTGAATGTCATCAACTAAATTCCATGAAAAGTTAAATAAATTATAGAGAACGTAACATTTTATTACTAATTCATCAAAATCATTGAAAGACTCAAGATAAATCGTGTACATGTCAAAGTAAGTTTTACGTGTAATATTTTTTTTTTCCCTTTTTTAGGGGAATGTTAATTATTATTACTTAGCTTCTTTCAACATGTTTGTGTTCATGTATAAACATTAGATCTTTAACCCTAGCTTTTTGATTATTTTTTTTAATTTATTCTTATATATATAATTCCATATTTATACAGGTCTTTCAAAAAGGCTCTCCAATAGTAGATGATGTATCGAAGGCTATACTAAAATTATCAGAGAATGGAGTGCTAAAAGTATTGGAAGACAAATGGTTTTCCAATTCTGAGTGTCCAGCTTCCTCAAATGTTGTTGAGAGATTAAATCCAAAGGATTTTCTCGCACTTTATATCATATATGGTGTAATTTCTTTCGTATGTTTATTGTCTTCGGTAGCTTATATGATCCGGAGATATCGAGCAGCCATTGCAATTTCATCGAGTGATAGAAGCATTGGACATTGGATCATTTGGATGTTTAAGTTTGTACAATTTTACCATGGAGGAAATCACAGAAATTCTCAGATTACACCTACTACGGAGACAGATGATTGGGATGCTCAGACGCTGGAAATTCCTACCCGTACTACTTAGTAATTAAATACATAAACACCTTTCTATGTAACGCATGTTTACTATTGAATATATATGACAACATTATCGTTGTTAGTGATTTGAATTGAAACTCTTTCGAATATGCAATATTTTAACGCTGTATATTGCTCATATGTAGTTCCTTCATTTTTTTTAAGGAATATTTGTTAAAAAGGGATTTATATCTTCAATTTGTTGCGAAAAAGACATTATTATATGTTTAAAGTGGTGAAAAAGTCTATATTATAAGTCACTTTTGTTGTGAGGAGGAACCTTAACGTCGGAATATGGTAATTGACTTTACTTTTTCGGTGTTGACCATCACGCACGTGACACTTGATGTTTTTAAAAGATCCTTTGGAATATTTTTTTCCCTACATTTTGATATTCTCTCTTTCTATCCCCAAAAAAAGTAATAGGTGTTCAAACACTTTACCTGTTATTTTTTTCCCCACGTTACACTTACCAAAATTGCTCTAAGAAATCGGGCCCCATATGAGTTGAGTCGTCGTACCCAAAATTCTGTTATCACATATACATATCTAGATATATTGAGGATATATTTTGGGTAGATATATTTGTTTCTATCTTTTATATTGTTTCCTTATTTCTAGTAACCTAATTAAGGTAACACTAGGAATAAGAGTTGTATATATATGTTTTGCCCTAATTAATGAAGGTTAAGCCGTGAGTTTATACAGTTCTATATGGTATCGGAGCAAGGTTAAATTTTTTTTTTCTTTTTCGTGAGATCGACAATGCCAGGAGAAGATGGAACGCCTCCATTGCCTCCAACCAAAATTGAACCTAATTCACCGTTTTACCTTGGACCGCAAGATCGGCCAGGGGATTACATTACCTCACAACGTTTAAAACTTGACAATTTTCATGAGTGGTCTCACGCTGTATGGATTTCTTTGTCTTCCCGGAGGAAGTTTGGTTTTCTTGATGGTACAATCACCACCTTCTCACCACCGTGCACAAAGGATGATTGGGTTACAATTCATTGTATGCTCGTTTCTTGGCTCATGAACACCATCGACCCCGAGGTAAAAATCAATGTTTTCTCAATATGATAATGCTAAGCAATTGTGGGATGATTTACATGAACGATTTTGCTTAGTTAATGGTCCAAGAATACAACAATTAAAATCGGATATTAATCGTTGTGAGCAAACAAAGAACATGACCGTGGCTGTGTATTATAGCAAATTGGCAGTGTTGTGGGATGAACTTGATAAATTGGAACCTTTAATTGCTTGCACTTGTGGAAAGTGTACATGTAGTGTAGGCCGACAGCATGCTGATCGGCGTGATGGAGATCGTCTCCAACAGTTTTTGCTCGGATTATATTCCGAGTACTATGCACCTGTTCGATCCAATTTGCTTTCTCAAGACCCCCTACCCTCCTTGCTTAGGGCGTTTCAGCAGGTGTCTCAAGAGGAAAAGGTCTGGGGCATGTCTCGGCAGAAGGAGGATCCTCCTGCTCTCGGTTTTGCTGTGCAAACCGGTGCTGGAAGGGGTCGTGGTGGAGGCTTTGACCGTCCACTGACGGTGTGTGAAAAGTGTAAGAAAGTGGGATATGAAACCTCGAGGTGCTGGTCCGATAAAATTTGCAATTTTTGTAAAAAAACGTGGGCATGAAAAATCTCGTTGCTATGACAAGCATGGGTGGCCGGAAGGGGCTGCTAGCAGCCAGGGGGGGCAGCCTCCTGCTTGCCGTGGTCGCGGAGGTCCAGTGAAGGCCAACGCGGTGGTTGGTGTTGGTTCAAGCTCGGATGACTCGACCACTTTTGCTTCGGGTCGTTTATTCTCAAGTGAACAGTGGAAAGCGATTACGGGATTGATGGGTAATGCAAAAATTTCCGATAATCGGTTGAGTGGTAAGTTTGATGATACCTCTTGGATTATTGACACAGGAGCTACTCATCACGTGACCGGAGAAAAACATTGGCTTTTTGATACAAAGAGCTTTGAATGTCCGGTTGGATTGCCTAATGGAGAGACGGTGTCGGCATCTCTTATTGGCTCTGTTTGTTTATCGGACAAGATTACTCTCACCAGAGTACTCTATGTTCCTAATTTGAGTTGTAACTTGATTTCTGTTTCGCAACTCAATGATGATCTTAATTGTACAGTCCAATTTAACTCTTATATTTGTGCTATATAGGACCAAACAAAGGAGCTGATAAGAACGAGAACTAGGAGGGACGGATTGTTTTACTTTAGCAAAACGAACTTGGTGCATCATGTGAGCGTTGCAAATTCAGAGTTGGAGTTGTGGCATCGTTGTATGGGTCATCCTTCCGAGAAAGTAGTTAATTTACTTCCCACAGTTAGTAATAAAGCTTGTTTAGATAAAGGATGTGAAGTATGTATGCGTGCTAAGCATCCTAGAGATAATTTTTCTTTGAGTGATGATAAAGCATCTAGAATTTTTGAGAAAATTCATTGTGATTTGTGGGGCCCGTATAGACATGTTTCCTCATGCTGAGCTCGTTATTTTTGACAATAGTTGATGATTATTCTAGAGTCGTTTGGATTTATTTATTGAATGATAAAACAGAGGTTTTTCGTATGTTTTTGATGTTTGTTGCTATGGTGGAAAGACAATTTTCTCAAACCATCAAAATTGTGCAAAGTGATAATGGCACTGAGTTTAACTGTTTGCGTGATTTTTTTGATACTACGGGTATTATTTTCCAAACTTCTTGTGTGGGCACTCCGCAACAAAACGGGAGGGTTGAGAGAAAACATAAGTATATTCTGTATGTTGGGAGAGCTTTGAGATTTCAAGCCAAATTACCTATTTATTTTTGGGGTGAGTGTGTCCTTGCCGCGGCTCATCTAATTTAATTAACCGTACCCCCACTCCCTTACTACAAAATAAAACCCCATTCGAAATCCTATTTGTTAAGCCACCTATGTTTGATGCCATTCGTACTTTTGGGTGTTTATGTTTTGCACATAATCAGAAAACTAATGGGGATAAGTTTGCAAGTAGAAGTCGGAAGTGTGTTTTTGTGGGCTATCCTTTTGGGAAGAAAGGGTGGCGTTTGTATGATCTTGAATCTAAGGCTTTTTTTTGTGTCTCGGGATGTTAAGTTCATTGAAAATGTATTTCCGTTTGCTACTCTGGACGATGTGAATATAGAGCCTCAAAACTTTGATTCGGGTTATGAGGTTCATGGTGATTTTATTGAGTTTGAGGATTCTAATGATGATATGGTGGCATATGGGCATAATGGTGAGGTTGACAGAGGCACGGGCTTAGACCCGCAGGTGAAACCCGCGGGCGCGGGGGTGCAGGATGCCTAGCAGCACCATGATTCTGCCTCACCGCAGGTGGAAGCTGCGGGCGCGGGGTTGCAGGCTGCCCAGCAGCACAATGATTCTGCCTCCCCGTAGGTGGAAGCTGCGGGCGCGGGGTCGCAGGCTGCCCAGGGCGCGGGTTCGGATGCCACGGGCGCGGGATACACAGCTCAGCCCGCGTCTAATTCTGCTGCTAGCTTTCGATGCGACAACAACAGTGATGAAGGGGCAGCAGTTCCACAACCCTTGGGGCACGGTTTTCGAGAAAAAATATCGAATGTCCGACATCGAAATTATGTGACTCACTCCGTTTTTGCTAACAATCCGGCTTCCTCCACTCCGTTCTCCAACACTCCGTTCTCCAACACTCCTTCAGGTACTCCTTATCCTCTAGCACATTATATAAATTGTGACAAGTTTTCTGTGAATTATTGTAAGTTTCTGGCAGCTATTGTTGGTGGTCATGATCCGAAATCCTTTAAAGAGGCCATGAAGCATGAAGGTTGGAGGAAATCTATGCAAGAGGAAATAAGGGCTTTGGAATATAACAGTACATGAACCTTAGTGCATCTTCCTCCCAGTAAATGTGCACTATGGAGTCAATGGGTATTTAAGACAAAATATTTGTCTAATGGTGATATTGAACGACTTAAATCTCGTTTAGTTGTTTTTGGTAATCATCAACAGGAAGGCATAGATTATGGTGAAATGTTCGCTCCAGTTGCAAAGATGACAACGATTCGGGCTTTTCTTGCAATTGCAGCTTCAAAAAATTGGAACTTCATCAGATGGATGTGCATATTGCTTTCTTGCATGGTGATCTTAATGAGGAGGTATACATGAGATTACCTCCCGGGTTTGAAAATGATCCTACATTAGTGTGTCGATTGGACAAGTCCTTGTATGGGTTGAAGCAAGCACCGAGGTGTTGGTTTGCAAAGCTAACTCAGGCTTTGAAAGGGTATGGCTTCATTCAATCTTACTCTGATTATTCTCTTTTCACGTATACTAAAGGCAAAATTCAAATTAATGTCTTAGTATATGTTGATGATCTTATAATTTCTGGTAATCATTCCGCTGCACTGGTTGGTTTCAAGGCTTATCTCAGTGATTGTTTCAAGATGAAGGACCTAGGTATTTTGAAATATTTTTTGGGCATAGAGGTTGCTCGTAGTGCTTCAGGTTTATTTTTATGCCAACGTAAATATACGTTGGATATTATTTCTGAGGCAGGTTTGTTAGGGGCAAAGCCGAGTGGTTTTCCCATGGAGCAAAACCACAAGCTGGGTCGTGCTACAGGTGCGCTTCTAGGGGATCCGGAAGCATATCGTAGGTTGGTTGGTCTTTTGATTTACCTAGGGGTAACTAGACCCGATCTAGCATACTCCGTTCATATTTTGTCTCAGTTTATGAAGGAGCCGCGCATTGAGCATTGGGAAGCAGTTCTCCGTGTTGTTCGTTATTTGAAAGGCACCCTGGGTCAGGGTATCTTGTTGAGTGCTACTAGTGATCTCACTTTGGAGGGTTGGTGTGATTCGGATTGGGCGGCTTGTCCACTGACTCGTCGCTCTGTCACAGGTTGGTTGGTGTTTTTGGGTCATTCGCCCATCTCATGGAAGACTAAAAAGCAACCAACTGTGGCGACATCTTCTTGTGATGCCGAGTACAGGTCTATGTATGCTGCTACTTGTGAGCTAAAGTGGCTTAAGGAGTTGTTGCTAAGTTTGGGTATGCATCATCCTAAGGCAATCAAAATGTTTTGTGACAGTCAATCTGCTTTGCACATAGCGAAGAATCCAGTCTTTCATGAAAGGACCAAACATATCGAAGTCGATTGTCACTTTGTTCGAGATGCAATTATAAACGGTTTGATTTCTCCTTCGTATGTTCCTACGACTACTCAATTGGCCGACATTTTCACGAAGGCTCTTGGGAAGTCACAATTTGACAATATTTTGTCCAAGTTGGGCACTTATGATCCTAGTGCTCCAACTTGAGGGGGGGTATTGAGGATATATTTTGGGTAGATATATTTGTTTCTATCTTTTATATTGTTTCCTTATTTCTAGTAACCTAATTAAGGTAACACTAGGAATAAGAGTTGTATATATATATTTTGCCCCAATTAATGAAGGTTAAGCCGTAAGTTTATACAGTTCTACAAGATAGGTGCTCGTAGTTATTTTGATAGCGTCTCATGACTCTTATCTCACTTTGTTTTAGGCTAAAAAAGTAATATTCGTATTAAGAAGACGTATTTAGAACGAAAACTAAGCTAAGTTCATGTGGGTTTGGAAAAAAAAAATAGGCTTAGGCTAAGTCGATGTCCTTCTCAATAATTAAGACATACTAGTATAAGCCAAATCGATTTGTTATTGATTAAACTATACATTTGTTACTCTTTTATTTTCTCTGTATTTTCTTTTAATTCTATTAACTTCATAAAGTAGCCTAATTAAATATAGAGAATTTTTAGTAGGATTACACTTTGATATATATAATTTTAGACAATTCAACTAAATTAAAAAAATAACAGGAAAATGTTTGAAGATTTAAAATTATAAAAAAAAATAAAATTGGATAACTTATTAAAAAGTAATCAATGTGGAAAAAAAAAACTAATAGTGAGTTTGGTAGGGACAACTATAAGTCTATAACAAACCAGCTAGGAAAACTAATAAGTTGATATAAATGATTTATTATGGGCCTGTTCTAATAGACTGAAATCAGCTGAACTGAACTATATATATTTTTTTTTTTGAAAACAAAACTACAATACTTTTATTTCTTTTCTCTAACATTTATTACTCTATAATAAGCTAATCTCACTATTTTTTTTTCTTAAATCTTCAACTACCTCACTTATTTTTTTTTAAAAAAAATTAGTTAAATTGTCTAAAAATATGCATCACTGAAAGTGTAACATTACTCAAAAAAATCACAAATGAACGTGTAAATGAAGTTAATAGAATACAAAAAATATGGAGTAAACGAAAGTGTAATATTTGAATAATTTAATCAATAACAAATCGATTTGACTTATATGTCTTAATTATTGAGTAGGACCTGGGTTTAGTTTTCCTTCTCAACACGTTACACGTCTTCTTATTACGAGTATTATATTATTTTTTTTTGCCTAAAACAAAGTGAGATGAGACGTTATCAATTAGATTAATAACTGCAAGCACCTATCTACCTATGCATATATGATAATAGTATTTTGGAGACGACGCGACTAAATACATATGAGTACGATTTCTTAAATCCCAAGCAAAAAAAAACATTGTTCGTTGTTTTATAAACTTATTGTATAATTAGTTATTCAACAATTTTTTTTGTGTGGCTAGTCAATAGTCATACTATGTGATAGGGGTTACTTGTTAGGGTTCGTATTCAGGGGTTACTTATATAGGGGTTATTTGTATGAGTTATTTATTCAAACAAAACTTACTCAGAGGTTATTTATTAAATGGAAACTTACTCAGAGGTTACTCAGTTAGGGTTAAACTTCTTTATTTGTTTTTCTTTATTTTCTTTTGTTTTAATCTTAAATCTTTTTCCCTTTGGTATTTCATTGGTTAAGATGCAAGTGATGACATTGGGGTTTTTCCCAGCCATCTATATTTGACTGTATGAGCAATCTTTTGCCTATTACAATGGATATGAACTTCTATTGTTTTTCAAATTTAGATATTATCAATTGATCTCCTACATATCCAACACGTTATAATATCATAAAAATTAAATCTAAGACAAAAATATACGTAGTATTAATGCATTTGTATTAATGAATGAATGAATGAATAACTATTCCAGTTGAAGGAAAATTCTAAACTCTTACCCATCATTTTCTACGAAAGGAATGGGAAAAGTCATAGAAATGGACCATTACATTTTCCTCAAACAAAAAAAAAAAGGACCATTACATACGCACGGTCTATAATCTATAGATGACTATATCTTACAAAGAAAAACCTCAAGGAATGAACGACCATGGACTCGAAAATTTTCGCGTTCATGAAGCCGAAGCTTCACCCCCTCGTATTATTATTTTCACTCTACTTGTGTATAATATTCTTGGTTGAAGAACAAACCTCCGTTGTAGGTGATGATGGTGTAACTACAAAAATTGGTGCAATACTCGACTTGGATTCTCGTATGGGTAAAGAACAGAGAATAGCCATTGAAATCGCGGTTGAAAATGCTAAGATTTCTGTTCATTTCATAGATCACAACCAAAGGCCGCTTCAAACTGCTTTTGAAGGTTGGTTGCTTCATTCCTGATCTTATAGCCTTTGTTTCGTAACCATGAAAATTGCCTTATGTGTTGCTTCCTGATCCCCAGATGTAAGGAGGGAAGGGGAGGGAATTGGAGGGATCCATTTTTCTTTCACTTTTGATGAATCAAATCCCTTCATTAGATAGATTTGAAAGGAAAATGGAAGGTCTCCTTGTCCCTCCCCCCACCTTCCTTTCCCTTCCCTCTTTTTCCTTTCCCTTTACTATTATTATCCAAACATAGTGTAAGTGTTATGAATTAGCACATGTTAAAAAAGAAGAATTAAGGATAATTTTGGAGGAATCTAGGCCAAGCACACACATATCCATCACAACTCTAACCAACACTAAAGAACGTAATTGTTTTTAGTTTTGTGAGGGATAAAGAGTAATAATTATGTCATAATTTGTTTAAGTAAAAAGGGATAATTTGTAGTGTTGAGGAGTGGGGACAAATTTTCTTTTCAAATTTAGGATTGGAAAGTGAAGTTATTTTAATATATAAATGGATGATATGATTGATAAAAATTAGATATAAGGATGAAATTTTACAATTATGTTGTGCTAAAGACATACCCAAAATTAATTTAGACTAGCTATAGTATTAAAGAATTTTTAACTTATACATTTTCTATACTAGTCCAACTACAATTTATTGATAGGATGTATGAATTTTAGATTAATATAATACTCTGTAATATTAGTCCAACTACAATTTATTGATAGGATGTATGAATTTTAGATTAATACTCTATAATATGTATGTATAAATTTTAGTTTAATATGATGAGAGTTGTTATAGTATATGATTAGATTCTTGTCTAGTTATCTTATGGAGTATAAATCTTTATTGGTTATAAAATATGTAACAATGCCAATATAATTTTGTCTCATTGCATGTTTTTGACCTTTCTTCATCTATCTACTTCATGCTCAAAGGACCGTTATGTCTTACTATGAAAAATTATATGTGTCCTTAATTATGTTCATGAAAGTGGCCCCGACCCTTATATTACCCTTTAAATTAAGTAACTTCAGTAGATGATGCTATTCACCGACTTGTCAATTTTCTTGTGTCTATTTGTGCTAATTATGGAACAAAAAGTGTTACTTATATTCATGATTTTAACACAAAATATGTCCATTTTAAAAAAGTGAAAAACATGAAAAAGTAGAAGGAAGAATTGGCCTAAGGTGGACAGAAAATAAATGAAAGATTTTATGTAATAATAATTATCTAAACAATTTGATTTTTAGCTATTTATAAATTGATGGAACATGTTTTATTTATAAGAGAGTAATATGGAGTAATATAAATGACATTGTGAAATAAAATAATTTTTAAAAAGTATTGAGTCTAATGACCTTTTGTTTTTCATTTTTTATTTTTCTAATTTATTTAAAAAATAAATAATCTTTTTTAACTTGTTGATTATATACCCTATACACTATTTACTTATTTTTCACACCCGACATAACCAACAACAATAGTAGGCATATATAGAATAACTTTTGTGATGTATGACTATCATTCAAAATTTCAATCTTGATAAGTTATATGTGATATGTGATATACATAATGCATATGTTATTAACATTAGAAAACTCTTGCAGCTGAAGCACTAATCAAGGAGAAGAAAGTGGAAGTTATAATAGTAGGCATAGAAGATTGGCAAACTACAACACTAGTAGCAAAAATTGGAAGTCTAGCTCAAGTACCAGTTCTCTCACTTGCTGCATCACCTCCTATCACCTCACCATTCGCGTCACGCCAATGGCCATTCCTAGTCCAAATGTCTCATAACGCGATTCAACAAGTCCAAACCATAGCATCCATCATTCAGAGCTACCTTTGGCGTAGGGTCATTGTTGTGTATGAAGACGACGTTTCCACGAGTTGTGGTAATTGTGGCAAAATCTCTCTTCTCACTACATCCCTCCAAAACATCGGATCTCAAATCGAACACCACCTTGTTCTTCCACCACTTGGATCAACTACCAATCCTAGAGGTACTATAAGCGAAGAATTATTGAAGTTTGCCAATGGAAGATATTATTCAAGGGTTTTCATTGTTCTTAGAGTATCACTTCCTTATGTTAGCCTTTTGTTTGAGGAAGCAAAAGGGAATGGACTAATGAGGGATGACTCGGCTTGGATACTTTCGGAAGATATTACTAATTTTCTTCCCTCTTTGGACTACCCTACCATGTTAAATATGGAAGGTGCTATAGGAATTATGGCCAAGTTTGATAACTCTACAAAGGGTTTTGAAGTATTTGATGCAAAATTTGGGTTCAAATTTCTTCAAGCATATGAAAAAGAACGATATTATGAACCAAGTTTTCAAGCTCTAATTGCATATGATGCTATCACAACCATTATCAAGGCTAAGCAAAGCCTTAGTAACAACATTGGTGATCATATTGTTACATCTAAGAGCTTCCTCCAAGAAATTTTACAAAGTAATTTTACAGGTAATATTTTATTCTTGATTCTCTTTTGAAACTCCCTTAATTTATCTTAAATGTTCTTTCGTCTGCTCACTTTACTCATCTTTTTCAAACTTTTTCAAATGATTAATTTGTTATGACATTTTCTTTAAATTGTACGATTCCTTATGATGAATATATTAGCTGACTCCAAATCATTTTGGGATTAAGGCTTCGTAATTGTTGTGTTGTAGATACATACTTTTTCCTTGCTTGTTCTTATTATATTTACACTATACATTTACATGTATCTATACCTTATGTCTTAGCCTTTGTATATTTTTCTTACATGTTACATGCCTTATCGACAGGGTTAAGTGGTAAAGTTATCTTCGACCAAAAGCATCATGATCTAGGAGTGAGTACTAGCACTAGACTAGTGAACATTGCTAGTTCAAATTACAGAGAAGTATTGGATTTTAGTAGTGATGATATTGAAGATGAGGATACCGCGAAAACACTAGCAAATGTAATAAAATGGCCAGGGAACTTGACCGGTGCCATTCCAAAGGGATGGGCGATGCCAACAAACGCAAAACCAATTAGAATTGGAGTTCCAATTTCTCATAATTACAATAACTACATCAATTATACAGGGAGTAGAGCTCTTGATGGCGATTTTTGTTTAACAAGACACGTTCCGAATTCAGTCCATAATAAAGATTTCAAAGGCTATAGTGTTCATCTTTTCAAAGAGGTTCTACAACACTTGGATTATAGACTGCCTTATGTGTTCATTCCTTACAATGGCTCATTTGATAATCTTATTGGACTTGTGCATAACAAGGTAACTTATTTTTTTCTCCAATTGGAAAAAATTGTAGTAAAATGTAAGTCAATTTTTTTCATAAAACGTTTTTTTTTTGTTTTTACAGTGTTTTGATGCTGCAATTGGTGATATAACAATATTAGGAAGGCGAATGGAGCTTGTAGATTTCACTCTTCCATATAAAGAATCAGGATTATCCATTATTCGGCCTGCATCCAAATCTTACAATTCTCACGGTCCATGGATATTTTTGAAGCCCTTCACAACAAAAATGTGGATTGTAACGTTCTTCATATTCGTGTACAATATGATTATCATATGGGCTTTGGAGCATGGAAGTAACTCGGAGTTCAGAGGAACATGGAGAAATCAGCTCGGTGCAACAGCTTGGTTTACCATCAATTCTCTCTACTTTGCTCTAAGTAAGTGTACCAAACTCTCCTCCCCCTCCTTCTTTAGTTGCTCAGGCTCGATGTTCTTATTTCTTCTATTTTAATCTTATACATACTCCTTAGTATTTTCTTTCCTCTTTCCCATCTCATTACTACCGAAATTTTTCCCTTTATTCGTTCAATTCTATTGATAAGGATAGAGTGTAAAAACCAATATTGAGTTTCAAACATCAGCTTAAGTTAGCAAAAGTTTAAGCCCAGGGTTGTTTTTTTTTTTTTTTTTAATTATTATTTTTGGTACGTAATAAAGGCCAGAAATGGTTTTTATATACTCTACCAATTTGAGTTGTTGTGGGCTGAAGTCTGCTCTGCTATGTCAGCAGCTCAAAAGAACATGACCTAACTCATGTATTGAAAATTACGGTGTATATGACCAGTTACTTATAGCAATTATGTGTTGGTATATTAGCGGAGACAATTTCCTCCAAACTAGCAAGAGTGGTGGTGATAATGTGGTTTTTCATGATAATGATATTAACCTCAAGTTATATTGCCAATCTCACTTCCATGATCACCAACGATCGACTCAATCGAACATCAATCGACGTTGAGATGCTTCAAAGAACCAATGCTAAAGTTGGTTATGATAAATCATCATTTGTAAACACATTTTTGGAAGATCTTCTTAAGTTTAATTCTACAAACATAATTCCCATGGAACCAAAGTTTGAGGATAGTCACATGGAATTGAAAGCAAGAAATATTTCAGCAGCATGCCTAGAGTACCCTTATGCACAGCTCTTTGTCACAAAGTATTGCAATAAATACATCATGACTAATCCAATCCACAGATTTGGCGGCTTCGGATTTGTAAGTTTCTTTGCAATTTACTTTCTTACATACATGAATTACTTCAATATATTATTACACATGAGAATTTGTCTTGTCAATTAATAGAGGTGCTATTTCGGGTATCCGGATTGGATTCAGCAACGTCAAATCGGGTCTAATTTTAAATTTAAGTCATACTAAATTATTGTGTTAAAAAAAGTTATATATCTATGAGTAATATATTTCAGGTAGGTTTTGAATCGAGTCGGTCAAATAAAATTTTGATACCTCTATGTCAAGCAAGTTTATGGTGTACATACAATGATATTTAATCATGTCAAGTCAGTTAAAAATTCAAATTTATTCTGTATGTGAATCGAAGTAACTAATCATTTTGTATACTAATATACAATAAGCCTATCGCATGGAAGTTTTTACAAATGCCTAATTTGATGAAAAATTATCTAGCAATGCTTTGATGTGTAGTTTATTAGAGATTCACCTTGTAACATTGAGATCACAAGGTTTGATCGTATTTGACGATACTTGGGTGTGAAAATATTATGCCTTTCTACCTTACATTCATGTTTCTAGCCTATAAATACTTGGCCAACCTAAGCTAATAGAAAGAAGAGCACCTTTAGAGAGGTTTAACCCTACTAGGGGCACTCACTTTAGGGGACGGGATGCCCTTAGTCAATCTCCACTAATTCCAAAAGTGAGTACCTTGCTTACCCGGGCCAGATTTGCCTGTGAGAGATTTAGGCTCATTAAGGCCTTTTTTTACCAATATAAAAATAATCCTTGAAAACTTCATTTTAGTGCTCAAGTATGTTAGACTCTATGGATGGATTTTTTTTTTTTTTTTTTATTTTATATATGGATTAACTTAAAGAATACTCCTTGTGATATTTTTTAAATTATATATGTTCTAGGATGTATGACAGTTTATTCTGAAAATCCCAAAAGTGTATCAAAGGAAGAATATCAACCAGTCAATCCATGGCATATATGATTGAGCTCGCTCTTCTAAGAACGCTACTTACAAATATGAAGTTTCTTACATTTTGCTAATTAAAATTGCAGGTTTTTCCCAAGGGTTCTCCAATTACAGATGATGTTTCTAAGGCTATACTAAAGCTAACAGAGCTTGATCGTCTCAAACATTTGGAGAAAAGGTACTTAAATATAAATAGGGATTGCACCAGTAATGCCGAAGACTCTAACAACAGTAATAATGGACAACAAAGCAGTTTAAGCTTAGAAAGCTTTCAAGTTCTCTTCTACGTTTCAGGAGCAGCAACTAGTATTTGTTTATTAGCATCTTTTATTCCCTTGTCCAGAAAATTCTGTAAAAAGCTGGCAACTCGAGTAATAGGTCCTAGTAATAATTAATTTAAGTTTGATAAAGGATTTTTTTGGCAATTACCACTAACAGTTGGTGTTTTAGTTTTTATGACCTACAATTTTATTTTTCATGTTTTACCACCTACTATTTTTGAAAATTAATAATTTCCCACCAGATTGCCCAAAGCCTCCTACACCACGTCATTGTGGGCCCCATCGACGGATAGTTTTTCAATTTTATTCCTTTATCTGACCTTGTTCTTCGATTTTTGGATTTCAAATCCAAATTATGCAAACAACCACTAAATTAAGTACCTAATTTACAAAATTGGGGCTAACTATAAGATGGTGTTTATCATTTAGGGTTTAAAAATGAAATTAGTAATTTATTATTATTTAATGATTGATTTATGAAATTGGGACTAGTTTGCGTCAATTTCACGTATTATATAAGTCTTCAATAGTATTGAAATTGATATTAATGCTCATAAATTATTATTACTTATTGATATGAAAAATTAGGGTTCGTACGTATTTTAGGGATATTTAAACTCAAACGTTTTTCTAAATTATGATTTACAATCCTAAATTGAGCATATATATTATTTCTATATAGAGTTAATCAATGTAAATAATGCTTAATTTAGAAAATTATCTCAGTTTAAAAAATTCCCTAAATTTGGGATAAACCCTAAATGATGAACAACAAATTATAATTGACACATAATAGTGACTTAACTATGTTCGAGTGAGCTTAAATTATGTTAAATTGACTACTAAATGCTTTTCCCTTATCTAAATTAATTTTTTCACCTATTACCCCTTAGTTTTTTTTGTTTATTTACTACATACCTCCTGAAATTTTTTAAACTCACAATATACCCTTGAGTTGTCACAAAAGTTCACCATTTACCCCTAATGACAACAAGATGAATGAAATTTAGTTAATTATGCATTGAAACCACCTTAGATCTCTTCGCGCATCCCTAAAACTACTCATCTCCTTTCTTTAACCCCCGAAACCACTTCAACTCTCCATACTTGTATCCGTATGATTGATATTGAGGATGAGAAAAGGAAATTTAAATGGGGTGGGAAAAAGAAATGTGGGTGGTTTTAGGGGTAAGGGAATGTATTTATGGTGGTTTCAAGTTATAATTAACCCTAATAACCGATGAATTATTAGTCATCAAGGGTTTATGGTGTATGTTTGTGAGAGCTCAGAGGTATATGATGAATTAAAAAAAAAAACGTTTAGGGGTATATGGTGAATAAACAAAAAGAAACTCAAGGGTATATGGTGAAAAGACCATTAAATTTATACAGAAAAAAAAAAATCATTGAACATGAGAATCAAGAAAGAAGAAGGCATGATGATGTCATGTATGAGAGTTCGTTTGGGAAATCTGGTGGGATAAAAAAAAACCCGTAGATGGTTATAACTAAAACAACAATAGTAGATGGTTATTTCCCAAAAAATCCTTTGATAAATTGTAATGTTTTTATTATCTTTTTGAAAGTTGCGAAAATAATAATAATAATAATAATAATAATAATAATAATAATAATAATGGCTATGGTTTCATTCCCTTCTCGTCTTTTTCACTTAGGGAATTAGAGAAGGAAATTGTTGTGTTGCTGAATCGAAGTCAAAGGTTCTTCACACACAAGACATTGGCCCGTGCTTCAGTTAATATCTTCACTAGGGTAGGCTTTGCAATAGCTAGAGGAGTGGGGCCCATATTGTATTTCGGATTCCCACTAATTTATTTGAAATTTCTCTCCCGTTTTAGGGGACTAGGGCAGGGTAGGATTCCACGTCAATTTTCCGGCGTTTTGGGCAGATTTTCCGACGCGATCAGGTACTCGGTGGTTGTGCATTCAAGTCAGGCGGTTTTGAGGTGTTTTGGTGCAGTTTCCGGGTGGAATTCATGTGGTTTCAGGGTTATTTGGTGCAATCTTCTCGAGCCTATTTAAGGCGTTTTATCGACGGTTTTCAGACCTTTTTGCGATTGTTTTCCGGTGACGGTCTGTCAGGTCCTTTTGGCTTCGCTTTTTGGGGTTGTGTGCGTGACTGTTTTCATGCGTGTATCGGGCTGTTTTCAAGCGGTTAACTAATAGTTTTTTTTGCGAACATTTCTGGTCGAATTTTCAAGCAGTTTTTTGGTCAGTTTTCTGCCACACTAGTGGAAAAAAGGCCATCTGTAACGGGCAAAAAGGGCCCATCCGTAACGGGCAGCGTCCGTTACGTATGCAGCCGTTACGGATGGGCATTGTTATTCGTAATGGGCACCGTCCGTTACAAATAATAACTTATTCGTAACGGGCACTTGAAGTGCCTGTTACGAATAACAGGGTTATTTGTAACGGGCTTTGTATCTGCCTGATACGAATAATGTGTGCCCAATTTTTAAAAAAAAATCCAGCACATTCATGCTGGATTTCTTATAGCTTTGCTTGCACAATCATTTTATGAATTAACTAATGAGAGAAATTATGTTTAATGCATGGTACAGTAGAAAATCTCATATACAATCATCAATGTTCAATTATCACCTAATAATTAAAATAAAAAAAGTATTTTACAGTAGAAAACCAAGCTAATAATTATCACCTAATAATTAAAATAATCAACTAGCTCAACAATACAACACTACTTCGATTAATTTACAGTAGAAAACTAAGCTGCGAGGAGGAGCACGGGATATGGTGGGGCAGCAGGGATGGAAGTCGAGTGGTAAACTCTAGATGAACCCAAAACATTCCTCAAATAAACCCTAAAAAGAAACAGATCCATAAATAAAAAGCAACCCAAATTGTATCAATTTGAATCAAGTAATTCAATGAAAAAAACGGATGTTTAACAAACTATATACCTTCTAACTGCAGAGCGACTCCAAGAAGCTTGTAACGAAGAGACCCACACTGAGCAATAGCGCAAAGACCCCCCTATTGTTGTTAACCTTTTGGAAAATTAAGCCTCTTCAGCATAATCAAGCTAAGCTCCCAAACCCTTCTTACCTTCAATTCTAGCATAATTATGCAAGTTCAGTACTAAAGTCGGCTGTCTATCAATCAATGCTTGACGCTTAGCTACATATATATAGTAGCTATCTTATTCATTCCACAAACTGGAAAACTCATTCCTCAAACAATAATAGCCTTCAAAATTCAATATAATACTTCTATACAGCAGTTTAAAGTCAGTAAAATCCACAATAATCAAATTTCATTTTATAAGCACATTTTGTAGGGTCTCAAGTATAAATCAAGTTTTATATTTATCCAACTCATGTCGCACATTAGCAAGAAACTATAAATCTATAATATAGTACTAATCAACGCTTAGCTATATAAAAACCATTAAATTTCATAGCTTTGTAATTTCATTCATAAATTATTCAATGAAAAAAAACAAGGTAATGATTGATTTCAGTCATGGTTAATCAGATACAGAAAACAGAACTAGTGGTAATCACTAAACAGTAACATTAGTGTTCATAGACATTTAAGCATTCAATTGCAAGCATTCAGAACTTGAATTTTAACAAACTAACCTCAAGATATCGTTTCCTAGCTTCATCAACCCCATATAGTCAAGCTTCACAAAGGAAACACCAAATTGACTCCTCTGTATCATCTGGGTTCTGAGCTACATTCAACCTGAATTGCTCTGTGCCTTCTTCAAACCTATCAATAAAGCATTTAATTTCTCTCAAAATTAAAAGACAGAAACATGTAATTTTTGCAAACACCAAATGTTCAAAATTGCCACATTTTATGTCTTAAAGTTAAGTGTTTGTAAGAGGATTGCATCAACTATACTTCATACACATTATACAACAAGCACAAAAGGCCAAAAGCCTACATTCGTTATAAACTTATAAGTTATAAATACAGTAAAAAATAGAGCAAAAGCAAATCTCAATGGTAATAAGAGATTTAAATTATTTTCCACTAAATTAATTATGAATCATTTACATCTTCCACCATTATTCCGAGTTGCTCCAACTTTGATCTCAAATTCCATGGCTTCCTTGGCAACCAAATTCTAGCCTTTTGATTCCTGCAATTTGAGATCAAGAATACAAATAGTTAAAAAAGAATTGTAATATTCAGTAGAGAAGCCATAATAAAATTGGGATTGAGATTAAAGAACGAGTATAATCTATATACCCTAATAATTACTACTTATATCACCAACCAAATTCTTCTTATGAAATCCCTTTGACAAAAATAACTTGCATCAATTAAATAAATAGTATAACAGCTAAAGTGTGAACCCTAATATCCTTGTAGATAATTACTAAGGCACGAGAAGGAAAAAAAAAAACACGGACACACACACCATGCTTCACACACACATACCACACACACACCATGCTTCAGCAATATGCTTCTTGCAGGCAATGTAAATATTGTAATTGTAGACTGATTAACCTCCAGTCCATAATGCTTAACAAAGAATGATACTTGCATAACAAATGCAGATTATATTAATTATCTTTACAAGAATTTCTTAATAACTTACATTTTACAATTAGATTTTGAGTCTACTTATTAAGATTACCCAAGAAATATATCAGATTATATTGAGAAATGCTTTTCTAGTGTCTAAAATTTTGTTGATGATTTTGTATCTTGTAAATTTCAGTAAAGCCACCTGCAATATACAATATTCAACATAGAAGTGACAAGCTTCAAGAATTAATTTTGTATCCCAATGTTAACATGTGAAAAGGATATCAAAATTCACACTTTATTTTGATAAGAAATCTTCTTCTTTCCCACCATCCCACCAATTATTTACAAAAATCTCATAAAATAAATCCACTCACCAACTAAATTCGTGAGCTCTATTAACATGCACTAAAAAGGTTGTCTGTTTTAAGAGAAAAGTAATTGTATCATGAAATCAAAACACCACAAAATACAAGGATATATCCCTTATTTAATCTTATAGCCTGGGAATTTAAAGAAGTTTAGTGATAAATTGAACCCTGATCGACCATCAATAATCAATTATTTTTACCCAATTTACTCACAAATCATCCCAATAATCTATAAATTCAATGAATCACGCATCAAATTAAAAAAATCTAAATAAAATTACAAGTATAAAATCGAGGACAAACATCAACAACGGAAAAATAAAATAAATTTTAATAAAACATTAACCTTTTCAAATGAACATCAGTAATTCGAAAGCTAAGAAACACAGATCTATATAATTTCAAGAAATACTGACATTTAAATGTTGTCAAATTTTAGTAATTCGCAGTGCTGCATGTAATTGAGAAAGCCACAATTTTTTTGGAGAAAAATTGAATTAAAATCGAAAATAAAAAAAAATCCTTGGTTAGAAGACCATGAAATTGTAAATTTGAGCAAAACAAAAACTCAAAAAACATGAAAATAATGAAATAATTTAAACAGAAAAGAAGAAAAAAGCATTAACCTTCCAGAACATCGATCATTTCGAGAGGGGGAAACGATGAAAGGTGATGGGTTTGTATCAACTCCTTGCGCCGTTGCTAGGACCAACCAACTCGATCTTGAATTGAGGAAGAAGAGAAGAGGATGATAGAGGGACAAAGGCGAAAAGAGGTGGAGATCGAAGAGAGAGAGGAAGAACAGAAGAGGAGGAGAGAGAGTGTGTGTGTGCGGCTGCAAAATAATACGGAGTAGTTTAAAACCCTAGCTGCTTGATTTAGGTGTAGCGGACTTTGTATTTGTCCGTTACAAATATCCACGATTCGTAACGGACATTTCTTTGTCCGTTACAATTATAAAATATTCGTAACGGGCATTTATTTGTCCGTTACAAATGAGTTTTTTCCGTAACGGACATATATTTTGCCAGTTACAAACACTTTTTGTAACGAATTTTATTATGCCCGTTACAAATGAGCCGTTACAAATGAAGTTTTTTCCACTAGTGCTAGTTCAGTTTCTCGTGGTTCAGCAGCGTAATTTTGGGCAGCTATGAGGGTGCTTTTTTTGGTTGTTTCTGGGTTGTTTTGGTCAATTTTCAGGCGGCTTTCAGTTACGTTTTTGGGTGGCTTTAAGGTGCGATTCTTCTTTGTTTTCAAGCGTGAATTTGTTCTGTTTTTGGGTGCTTTTTTGGTGCAGTTTCAGGCTTTTTTTGGTCAGTTGGTGTAGTTTTCAGGCGGTGGTTTTGGTGTAGTTTTGGGGTGATTTTTGGTGTTGTTTTTGGTGCAATTTGGGTGTGTTTTTGGTGCTGGTTTTTTTGAGCAGTTTCAGTGTGGTTTTGGTGCAGTTTTGAGGTGATTTTTGGTGCTGTTTTTGGTGTAGTTTGGGTGTGTTTGTGGTACTTTTTTTGGTGTAGTGTTGGTGTGATCTTCTCGTGGCAAGTTGAGGTGGGTGTTATGCCTCCTATTGTTCCGTTCCATTGCCCATTTGTTGGTCTTAATGGGTGATGTGTTGGTCGGGGTAATGGGCTCACAAAGACCTCTTTGCTTACTCATCTCTGGGATCGCCATTGGTGTGCAAATGCGCGAGATTTGACTCGACACTCTCTTTCTTCTAATTTGGCTATATTCTTGGAGGTGGAGTCAACCTTTCGTCATATGGGCATTTGGATTTTTGGGGAGTGTTTCAAGACACATACTCTTCGTACGAAGTGTCGACATGGTCCTGATGATTTTGTGGCCCCTCTTGATTCTGGGGATGGTGTTGTGAATTTTGTTCTTTATGGTTTTCCAAGACCGTAGGGTCCTTCGGTGGCATCTGATCTTGTTCCGGGTGTGCCTCGTGAGCCTCATTTTGCTTTTGAAGTTGCTCTTCTTGATAGTCTCCTATCTAAGAGGTTTCGTTCGGTGAAATTTATTCCTTCTAAGTGTCGATTGGGTTTTTCTCAGGTTCTCCAAGGGGCCCTTGATAAGGTGATTTGCCAGCCTGATGACATCTCTTGTTGGGTTCAATTGCTTGTGTTGCCTCTCTGTGTCCTTAAAACCATTTCTTCGAGGGTAATCGAGAGTGTTCTTCGGGTGTTAGGCGTCAGCGGCAGGAAGAGAGTATCACTTCTGCTATTCGTTCTTAGTGTGAGCCTGGTGGTTCTGTGCAACTTGAGCGCGACACGTTGGCTGATGTGTCTCCGCCTTTATTGGATGTTAATGAGGACGTTGATTTGTCTGAGCGTAATATTAAGTAGTGTAAGAGAAAGATTTCTGACGGACATTACACTGTTGCGGTTAGGGTTCTTTTGTCTTCTGGTCTTGCTCCTTACAACGATGCTACTCTTGCAGATTTGCAAGCTAAGCACCCTTCCTTTCCGGCTCCTTTCTTACCGTATATTCCAATTGATAAGCACGTTATTGCTACTCATGCTGTTGTTTTGGATCAGATTAGGGGTTTTCCGCGAGGTACGTCATGCGATAGAGACGGCTTGCGTGCTCAACACCTTATGGATTGTTTGAGTGGTGCTGCAGTTGCTAGTTCAGATGAGTTGGTGGCCTCTATTACGCAGGTGGTTAATCTTTTTATCGCTGGAAAATGTCCTTCTGAATCGGGTGAATATATTGTTAGTGCTCCTCTTACGCCTCTTGTTAAGCATGGTGGTGGTAATTGGCCTATTGCGGTGGGTACCGTTTGGAGGCGTCTGGTTTCAAAGGTTGGGGATCCTTTAATTGGTCTGTGTCTGGGAAGCTATCTAGGAGGTCTTCAGTTTGGTGTCGGGGTGCCGGCGGGAGGTGAGACTATTCTTCATGTTGTTAATTGTTTAGTTGAGGCTCGTGGTAGTGATTTTGGCCTTTTTATGTTGCTGGTGGATTTCCTGAATGCTTTTAATTTGGTAAACCGTTCGGCTTTGTTGCATGAGGTTCGTCTCCGTTGTCCAGCTCTTTCGCGATGGGTTGAATTTTGTTACTCTACTCCAGCCAGGCTATTTTACGGGGAGCATACCTTATGGTCATGTTAGGGGGTGCAGCAGGGTGATCCTCTAGGTCCTTTGCTTTTTGCTTTGGTTCTTCATCCATTGGTGTGCCAAAGTAGGGATTCTTCTGATTTATGTTTGCAGACTTGGTATTTAGATGACGACACTATTATTGGTAGGAAAGGTTTTGGAGTTAATTTTTGCGGAGGGACCTTGTCTCGTACTCCATGTCAACATTAAGAAAACAGAAGTTTTTTGGCCCTCGGAGGACCCTCATAGCCGTCTTGTGGGTGTCTTTCCTCCTGATATTGGTTGTCCTGTCCATGACGTTAAGTTACTGGGTGGTCCTATCACTGATGATTCCTGTTTATGTGGTGAGCTTGTTACGTAGAGAGTGTCGAAGACCATTGTGCTAATGGATGCTGTTGCTAAGCTTGATGATCCCCAATGCGAGTTGTTGCTTCTTCGTGCATGTACTGGGGTTTCAAAATTGTACTTTGCTACGCGCACTTGTCCTCTTTGTCTTTTTGTAACAGCACAAATTTCATTTGATGTTGCCCTTTGGGCTTCTTTGGAGCGCATTGTTACTGCTTTGGGGCCTGGTTTTGGTGATTGGCAATGGCGGCTTGCCACCTTACCTTTTTCTTATGGTGGTTTGGGTGTCTATTCAGCGGGTGATGTTCGACACTATGCTTTCCTTGCGTCGCGTCTGCAGTCTTCTGGTCTTTAGGCTACGCTTCTTCGCAATTCTGGTATTAATGGTCCGGGACCGACCTTCGATGGTGTTCTTAGTCTTTTTAACAGGACTGTGGAGACTGACTTTATGAGTAACCCTATTGAGATCGCTGCCCCCAGACTCATGAAAAAATTGGCAGATATATATTTCACAAAGGTCATTGCATCTGTAGATTCCACTTTCTCCTTATTTGCGCGTCAGGTTGCCTTATGGAAGTCCCAACAGGGGGATCACTCTTCGGCCTGGTTGCGGACGGTCTCGATATCGGGTTTGGGTCAGACTATGAATGGTGAGACTTACCGTAGCGTTCTTTGCTACAGGTTGGGTGTTCCTTTGTTCTTCATTTCAACACCTTGTTCTGCTTGCTCGAGGGTTTTTGATGGGGATATATATGGATCATGCAGTGCCTGTGCTGGGATGGTGGGTATTAAACATTGGCACAACGTTGTTCGTGTCACCCTTTTTGATATTTGTTTTCAGTTTGGGATTTCTGCTCGAAAGGAGGTTAACGTTGGGTTGACTGGAGGGAACGACAGAGCTCTTCGACCAGCGGATGTGTTGCATTATTCCTGGGATAGAGGCCTTGATGTATGTGTTGATTTGACGGGGTCTTCACCTTTGACACAATCGGGGTTGTCTGACTTCGTTCCTGGTCGTGTTGTGTCTACGGCGGCTCAGCTGAAGCGAGACAAGTATGGGGCACGTTGCAGGGCTATTGGCTATGGTTTTCTTCCTTTCTCCTTTTCTTCTTTGTGGGAATTAGAGAAGGATGTTGTTGCATTGCTGAAGCAGGTTCAAGCGTTCGCTAAGACTCAGGATATTGGTGCTCGTGCAACTGCTCACATATTTAGCAGGATCAGGTTCACTATAGCTAGAGGGGTGGAGGCCCAGATTGTATCTCGGCTCCCCACCAATTTCTTGTAAATTGATTGACTTTGTAAGTTTTTTGAAATAATAATAATAATAATATCCCTCCGTGTTTTTTTAAGTGTTACACTTCCCATTTTCGGTCGTGTTTTTTTAAGTGTTACACTTTCTTTTTTTGGCAAAAAGCTACATTAAAGTATTATATCTCTCTCCTCCCATGGTCCCCACCCAAACCCGCTATTACTTTTTTTTTATTATATCTTTCCTCTCACATTCATTACTTTTCAATAAACTATTAACCCCACTATCTTTCTTTTACAATTTTTTAATACTCCAACTACCCCACTTACCTCTTATTTTATACTCTCTCCGTTTTTAAATACTTGCTCCATTTCTCAATGCGCAGAGTTTTAGGAGAAAATGGATAAAGTAATAAAATATGGAGGTAGTGGGGTTGGTGGAAGAATAAAAAATATAAAGGGCAAAAGTAGTGGAGAGAATTGGAGGAAAGAGAATATATGTTGGGTCCACTAAATGAGAGAAATTAATTAAATATTGTAAAAGCTTTCCAAATAAGGAAATGGAGCAAGTATTTAAAAACGGAGGGAGTATAAGTCAATTAAATTGCCTAAAACTATGTGCCGGTCAAACTATAACACTTAAAAAAACACGGAGGGAGTAATAATGATAATAATAATAAATTTTAATGTTGCAATTTAAATTTATATTAAAATTATAAATTAAACGGATGCGGAGGAAAAATTAAAGACAAAATTTCTATTAAAATTAGGTTTGTATTTTATTTTATTTTATTTTTTTTTTTTTTTGTTGTTGTTGTTGTTGTGAATTTTGCCAACAACTATTTTTAAAACATCTAAGCATCCAATCTACTTGGCTCTAAACTGAATTGTGATATCATGTGGAGCCCACTAACTACCTTCTTACCCTATTTCCCTCCTTTTCTTTCTTTCTCTCTCAATTTCTCATTCTCCTATATTGTACTCCTCTCAATAATGGGGAAAAACTTCAAATTAAATTACATAATTATGTTAATTATTATGAGAATGAGAAATCGACTGAGAAAAAAAGAAATGGAGGTCGGGAAAAAGGTAGGAGGTAGTTAGTGGACTCCACATGACATCATACTTGAGTTGAGAGCCAAGTAGGTG